ACACATGGGAGATGCTTTTCCCGTGGTGGCCCAACACAATTAAGGTGCATGAAGATTTGCCTCAGGCCTTTCCCATGGATTGTGGTTTCCGTACGTTTGCATGGCTCGTAGGTCAGTGCACTCACACCTCTGTTAAGTCCCTCTCACTTAGTGAAGCATGGGGTTGGCGTAATCTGTTCTGGCAAACATTGGTTACCATTCCTCGTCTTTCTCACCGATTTGTGTTGGGAGGTCAAAGTGAAATCGAGGTGGCAATCCAAGCAATTTTGCGAGAACATGGAGTCTTCCCCAGTAGATTGCCCGAACGTACTGCGCAACTGATAAAGGCATGTTCAGCTCAGTCACTAGCTGCAGTGTTCCATGCAAGCCGCCCATGGCAAGCCCTTAAGCAATTAGCCTCCAGTGCCAAACCTCCCATCAGGCTGGTCCTAGAGGATGAACTCCAGACCACGATCAAGGCCAGGACAGTGGACAAAAAATCTGTGCAAGCCAAGGCCAAGGCATCCCAGGTTAATCAGCTTCAGCATCACGTTGGCCCTGAAGACATCATGATACCACATGGAATATTTTGCCTTCAAACTGGTGAACCAATTGCACAGATCAGCCCCCAGCAGCTTGGCCAAATCACACACGGAATTGTGGCCTTCACAGAGAGAGAAGTTCAGCCATATTTGCAACATGCTCCCAATGCCGCTGCAGGAGTCGCCTTTTTGGTTCTATCCCCATATTCAGAAGCCATTGCGCAGCAAGGCCAGGTAGTTCGGTTTCCAGTTCAGAGCAGGCTCACCTCGGAACCCATGCTAGTCTCTGCCGTCCTGCTGCAGCGGGGTACCATCCCGGTCATCAGAAATATGCCTGCACAACCACCAGCAGTCGAACAGGTGGCCACCCAAACCATTAAATGCCTCCTGTATAGAGACCAGCTCCAAGACCAATGGCAGACAGTGCTGCAAGCTCCTGTCAAATATATCATTGGTATGGCAGATTTCTTACAGGTGTGCAAGGTCACCGAATGCTCCTGTGCGAAGTGGCACCCGACTCACCAGAAGTCGGATACCCCGATTCTAGATGTGTGGCAGAGAGATTTTCTCTCCGTGCACTTCCAAAAAATCAGGCCAATGGACGCCCAAATATACACAGTGGCCATGCGAGTGACCGCTGACATATACGGTGAGCTGTTCAAGTTCTCTGGCACGGGAGGTTTGTACATAGAGCCTAGGACTGACGATGGTCGCAGCCAAGACCCCAGGTACCAGACCATCTGGGTACCACGTCAACCGATCACTGAGGTCAAGGCTCTCCAGGCAGTGCAAACCAACCCAGTCTCCCTGATTCGGGTCGGATTCAGGTATGGACTCAAGGTTCACAACGAAGTTGCTGAGAGTGTACATGCACAAATCAACCCCAATGAGCCGTACATCGCTGGATCGAGTAGAACATCTTACAGAGTTGGACCATTTCCCTGGGGCACCACCAAGAAAGCCATCCAACAATTGTTTCACCAGTGGAACTGGCAGGCTAGGCCCATTCACACCATTGCCAAGGCCAAGGACTCCAGCGGACTGATGTGGCTAGTTCATGCAGCGTGCCCGCCTGCGAGCCTAGTTTTTCAGTTGCAGCATGGCGATGTGGTCATTCATCAAGAGTCTCAAACTGCAAAAGAACCATGGCGACCACCCCAGGCGCAGGCATCCACTGGGGAGTTCAAGGATAAGAAGGAGGCCGAGTTTGACCCGTGGGCCGAGGCGGCCAGGAGTCTCCCACGCAATGAAGGAGTTTCTCAGGCTCAACTAGCCACGCTCGAGGCAAACTTAGAGCAAAAACTGTCCAAGAAGCTCCACAGTGCAGAGGAAAGTGACGTTGCTATGGCCGCTCCCTTAGAGCCCCGCGTTGCACAGTTAGAACAACAGTTGGCAGCTCTGCAGACCAGATCTGGAGTGATCGAGTCGAAGGTGGACTACGTTCATCAACAGGTCGAACAACAATCGGCCAAATTCGAAGCTGCATTAGATTCAAAATTATCTGATCAAATGCAAAGAATCGAGGCACTCATCACCAAGCGGGCACGTTCTCATGAATGACGGGGTGGGCGGTGGGCATACTTACGTAAGCCCATTACGCCCTTGCTACGCTTGTTAGTCATGGCCATTACCATCTCCGCCGCCGATGCATTTTCCTATGCAGCCCCACTTGCAGTGCAACAAGCAAGCAGCCACAGTTTTGATTGCAGATCTACAGGTCCGGCCACCACTCTCTCAGGGGAGGCAGTTTTGTCAAGAGACGAAGTTCTCTTGAGCCAAGCATATACGTCCACCATGCTCAATCCAGAAGTCTGCCCCAGCATGCAGGCCACGCATGAAAGGTCCAGGACTTGCAGCCCTTGTCCGTTTTGGAGTAGACCATGGACAACTACATATAAGTGTCCTTTTGCACCGTGCCAGGAGATTGATGTAGGTGGTCCTCAGAGTCCAGCTAGCTTTGCACCGGCCGAGCTATTTGTGTCCAAACAATGCATAGGCAACCAGCGCCTGTATAAAGCAGAATGTTTGCCGACCTTAGACACAGTTTTGTTACCTCAGCTCAGTAAGTCCGGAATCCAGGCAACTCCGGCTCACCATAATGCCTGGGAGACATGGTGCTCTTATCCAGAGTCTCATAGTGCCCTCACCAGTTTACATGAGGCGTCACACAGAGTGTTGCCCCCAGTAGCTTTCGGACCATACGGACCTCATGCCTTTTGCCTGTTTGTGCCTACTATTGAGATTGAGGTAGTAGCAGGAGGTCCCCTGAACCTCGCCGCCTTAGATAGCGTCCAGGGCACCCCAGCCCAGCCATTTTTGTCCAGCCATCACATAGGTCTTCACTCGAAATCCTATGCAGAGTGCATGCTGATCGCCGGCGCAGTTTTGTCTCATCAGCCCAGTCTGTCCGGAATCCAGGCCACTCCGGATAACCATAATGCCTGGGGATCAAGGTGTTTCAATCTATTGCCCAATGGTGTCCTCCTAACATCACCTGATGTTTCACACAGAAGGCCACAGATATCATTGTTCCCTTGCCAAGGGGCACATGAAGCGATTTTGCTCTGGCTATGTCGGCCATCCGGAATCCAGGCAACTCCGGAGCACCATAATGCCTGGCCAATATGCAAGGTCACAACCCAACCTTTCAGCCAAAGGTTCCAGCTGATGCGCAGAGCACAGACCTATTCGCAAGAATGCCAGGCATGATTTTCCAGTGGACGCAAGCCTGGGGGTCGGCCAGTCGTACAGAGTAGGCATGACCCCTACCATTCTAGGTTGTTCAGACCCGGTGGGAGGTGGCCACAATGTGTTTCACTAGGGCAAGTCAGCCAAACAGTTAGGAGAGAGAACTTTCACACGTACAGCAGCCAATTCTCCTACAGGTTTGCGTTGCCACTAAAGCTTCAGGTCATTGCGTCTCCGCCTGCATTTGGTGCTCACGTTACAGCTAGATCAGTTTTGCATGGGCGAGTCGAAGCATTCGTCAGATCTTTGCTGATGGAGGCACCACGAAAGCCTTGCAGTAGTGAGGTCCCTTGGTTTTCGCCAATTCCGATAAGTTCCAATGCACCGGAGGGTAACACACACACCAATAGTCCAATATTTGAGCATTTCTCACTCATGCAACTACCGCATAACCCACCTGAGGAGATCAGTCCACGAAACTCCGAGGACAGTATCATTCCGGAGGACTGGATTATTGAGCTCCAACGGTTAGTGCAACGACTCACACTAGCCTGCCCAACTGACCATCCAGAAGAAGTCCTGTTTACAGTCTACACGTGGTACTTGGATCACTCGGCAGAACCCATATGTAGCTCCCCGAAACTAACCACTTTAGGGGGAAACCCTGATGAATGGGAAGAAGACCTCCGATTCCCTTGGAGGCATAGAATCCATCGCGGGGAACATGTATTCATTGATGTGGTTTTTCCAGCTTATACCCAGTTAAGTTTTGACCAACATATAGCCCACGTGCTCTTGTCTCAGCGACAAATAGACCGGGTAGCCACATTGCTGGAAATGGACTTCTCAGGCATCTACGCCCAACGGGTTGTAACCAGGAGGGCCATTGCAGTCCCAAAAAGGTTCACCATCCAGGACCTTAAGCCGTTAGCACCAATGGTTGAGCAGCATGAAGACTTCTTGCAATGGGAATATCCATCGATGACACCACAAGGTTTTGTAGAGGCCAGAAATGGGATGAAGCTCAGACTGAGAGTCCTTGACACGGACATTGCCCAGGGAGAAGAGCTCCATGAAGTTTTCACCGCCTTACAGATTCCAGCCTACGATGTTCTTCACATGCAGATCAATCGTCAAGGGAAAGCTCACCAGACACTGCACCCAGCTCACGGCCCAGGCCATGCAATCTCTGTAGAACTAGACGGTGCAAACCTGATGCAGCGCACACTGAGCCAGTCATCTCCAAGCAGGGACGGGTCCTCTGACTCCAGCATTCCTGAAGATTGGTACATAGACCTGCAGAGAAGAGTGAGTCAGTTAGAACATTTATGCTCCGTTGACAGGACAGGCGAGCTTTTCTTCATGGTCCAAACATGGTGCATTGATCATGCAGTTGAAACAGTTGCTCATGAGATGAAGATAGCCCATTTGGGAGGTTACCCACCTGATTGGCGAGGAGATCTTCAATTCCCATGGAGACAAAAAATACAGCATGATGAAGTAGTCCACATTGATCTTGTTTTCCCAGCAGTTCCTGACTTAGTTGCCCAAGAACCGATCAGCCAGATCATCCTTACCCAGCGAAGAAGCTTGCTAGTCTCGATCTTACTAGTTATCGAACTACGCTACACCAGACCTATGGTCTTTAGAAGTGTCCTTGCCGTCCCATCCAGATGTTCACGCCAAGACATCTTTGATAGATCTCCCTTGGCCACTGAATATAAAGATAGCCTCAGTTGGATCCTTCCCAGACTCACGTCGGACCATGACACTTTTAATGCCAGAGATGGCATGACAGTGCAACTTGTGGCCAACTTTCCGGAACAGAGTACGGAGCTCCAAGAGCATGATGAAGTCATCCTCATGCAAGCACAGGTCAACATCCAACAGGTCCTTCACTGTCCTGATCAATGTTTTGCCCCAGCGGAGTCACAGGAGACCTTAGGCCAGACAGGCAGCAATTGTTTGCATGCCAGTGGTGTTCCCGTCGCGCATGGAGTGAACCTACCTTCGGGAGATAATGAACCGAACACATATGAGTTCAACATTCATGCTGCAGAGTACATTCCAGGGGTTCCTCCGCTCCAAGCTCAAAGTGAGGAAATCCAAGACCTATATGCTGCATGGAGCCAATTATCCTTTTCATGGCAGTCAGGAACCATTGCCACTATTGAGGTCGTCACTTGGTTCGTTGATCACAGACAGCTGTATCCCACCTGCCTTCAGAGCCGTCCAGTTGTCCTCGATGCCCAGTACCATCAATGGGAGCAGATACTCAAAGCCAGGTGGCAAGATCAACTCGATCAAACTCAACCGATTGAAATAGTGTTGGTACGTCCACACCCACCTCGTCTTGAACCCAATGTAGCTGCCCACGTAATCATTATCCAGGCACCTAGAGAAGAGTGGGTCACCAGCCTAATCTCAGTTGATGATCCGGTTTTCAATCAAATTAATGACAGACGCCTGATGCGCCTAGCAGCCACCACGGATGAGCATTTCACCATTGAGCAAATAGTCCAAATTTGTGGGTACCCGACCACATGTACATGGATGCATCAACCGTTGCGTTGCTTTGCTTGGATCCAAGAAGTGCAACTTCGTCCAGGACAGTGGTGGCCAGGTACCTCAGGCACAAGTATCTTCCTCAGCATCATCCGTACCACGCCATTAATTGGCCCCCAGGGCCCTAATGTGCAGCCCCACCTTGGCTTGTACCAAACCTCAGTACAAGTCAAACAGGGACAAAGACGTCCTTTGGCCGATTACGGTAACAACAGGGCCTATGCTCAGGAAGAAGATGATACTCAGTCCCTCATGGCCCAAGGTACCAAGGCACGCCCTCAGGACCCAGATCCTTTCCTTGTCGACAACCCGGCCATTGCACAACAGGAGGACGATATTGAAGATGACATTGAATCGGATGACTCTATTGAAAGCTCTGACCCTGACTGGCAAGAGGCTACACTCTTCTCCCCCAGGTCAGTGCCGGTCACCCGTCAAATTAACCTTCAGAGTCACCCCTTAAGAAGATATCAGATTGCGCATGCACTTCGGTGGGCCACAGAGGAGGTCATGGAAGACTATAGTTTGGCAGTCAGTCTACAAGAAATGGCCATCCACCCATGCAATGCCTGGTTAGTCAGACATCAGGGAGATTTGCCAAGTAATAGCAACCTGGTATTGGTACTTATAGACACCATAATGCACCCCACTCCGCCAAGCTGGCAACTCCAGACCGTCCGGAAGCCAATGTATGTTTTTCCGCAGCTGACGGCCAAGCAACTGCTACAGGCAATGTTCCTTCGGAACTACTGTACATACGCCCAACTACCATGCATTGTCCATCATAATGCGGTCATTTGGCATCAGGACGCAGATCCAAGCCATGCTATATACAATGGAGATTATATGACCATTCATATCCCACCTCCGAATGCTCCACAAGCTGCACTCTCTACCAGATGTGTAGCGGTTGCACTGCATCATGGGTACTCATTTGAAATACTTGAACTCCTGGGTCCATTCCCAGATTACCATGTTCAATCAGTTCCAAATCCTAACCAGGTGATGGTAGAGCAGGACATCCAGGACGGTGATGAGTCGTCTTTTCTCCAGAGTAGGGCCCAGCTTCTCACCCAATGTAACCATCTCCCGGAGCATCTTCCATATACGCGACGCCATCGTCTTGGTGAAGCAGATGTCCCGGGACCTGAGTCACAAGAAGTGCACGAGCATCGATGGGCACTAGGTGCTATAAATCCGACTGGATTAGCAGGTAAGGCTGTCCTTTTCCATGACATGCCCAAGGGAATATTTGCCATCTCTGAGACGCACCTTACGTCGCGAGGCAAAACCAGATTTAAGCAAGAGCTATGGCATGCCAAGTCTCCTTTTGCACTCTCTACTGGATATGATGCTCCTTACAAAAAAGCGAACATGCGAGCAGTTGGTGGTAAACACACTGGAGTTGCTTTCCTCACGTCATTCCCCAGCAGATCTATTCATGCAGGATGGGACAAGGAACTTTACCAGACTAGTCGTATCCATGCAGCCACGTTCCAGATCAGTGATAAGTGCATTGCGGGAGGAGTATGCTATGGGTATGCGCAAGCTGCCGACTCCAGAGCAACCCAAGAGATGACAGATCAGCTCTTGAGCCAACTCACTTCCCTGATTGTGGAAGGATTTCCAGGTCCTGCCTTTGTCGCTGGAGACTTCAATCAAATCCCAGGCACCCTTGCTGAACCACAGAAGTGGGAAGCAAGAGGATGGAAGGAAATTCAAACCAGGGCCCAGGAGCTGTGGGGGATCTCCCCGGGCCCCACCTGCTGTCAGGTATCCCGCAAAGATTTCGTCTACTTATCACCAGCATTGCAGACATTGCTAGTTAGCTGCAGCAACACGTTTGACAAATTCCCGGACCACTCAACGCTGGTAGGCATCCTGAATGGACCATCCAAACCTACACCGATTGCTCGCTGGCCTAAGCCTGCCGCTCTTGATTACTCGGAGCTTACGCCACACAAGTTTGCAGCTCATCCATGCCAACCGGCACGGACTAAATCCTCCCCAACGGAGCAATACACGGCAATCTGCCACGCCTTTGAGAACCACGTGAGTACAGTTCGAGTAGGCCATAAACTTCCAGCACTTCAGCAGTCACAAAGAGGCCGAGGCCAAACGCTCGAGCGCCTATTCATCAAGCCACAGGTTGTGTCCATTAAGCATGCACGCCAAGGAGAGTATCAACCTCAGGTCAACTCGTGGTCTCTCACTCACTGCAGGTGGGTCACTCAATGTAGGAGGTTACAGCATTATGTTAAACACGTCCGCAAGGCCTCAACTAGCCCGGCCGCAATTGAGCATAGAGCATCAGTATGGAGATCCATTGTCCTTGCCTCCGGTTTTCCAAGTGGCTTTGCTACATGGTGGCAGGAACATGCTGTCCAAGATCCGAGTGTATTTCCATGGTTTCCAGGATTGCCCCCGGACCTCGAAGTAGCCACCCATATCCTGAAGGTTTTTCAAAGTCATTTAGAGGATTTTGAGGCCAGGCTCATTGCCAAACGAGTCGGCACGGCCAAAGCCAACCGAATCCAGGATGTCAATCGAGTTTTCAAGGATGTTAGGAAGCCTTCCCCAGTGCCAGTCTCAATGCTTATCGCCAAATCCGTTGCACATGTGGTAGACATAGTTGATGAGGGTTCCGTCATAGTTGATAGCTCCGATGCTATCCAACATGCATCGGTACTTGAATCTAGGCTTGGCCCACTCCATGTGATTCACATAGAAGAAGGCCAGGTGTGGTTCACCAGTCCTCACTCGTTAGACATTGGTGACACACTGGCAGAGATCAACCTCAAGGGCCAGGTTCACGATATTCATGATGAATTTATATCTGAATGGATGCGACGTTGGGACCGGCACAGGCATTTAGATCCCAGCCACTGGGACGAAGTGCTTGCTATAACGGAAACATTGTTGGATTGCCCGGTTATGGAATTGCAACCCATTACCCTTTCCCGCTGGAAAGCTGCCATTCAATCCGAAAAGCCCACCTCAGCGACAGGTTTGGACGCCATGTCCAGAAAAGATTTGTTGGCCATGCCTGATGAATTACAGGAACAAATGATCCAACTTTTCCGAAATGCTGAATCCACAGGCCAGTGGCCGCGACAGTTGCTCCAAGGAGCAGTCCACTCGTTAGAGAAAACTCCCGGAGCTGAGACTGTCAATGAGTATAGACCGATAACAATAATGCCACTAGCATACCGAGCATACTCATCACTGAGATCAAGAGAGATACTCAATCACCTCAAAAAGCATGTGCCGCCCACACTGTTAGGAAACATCCCTGGCAGACAGGCGTCGTCGTTATGGTGGAATATGCAGCATAGGATCGAGTTAGCCCTCCAATCTGCAGAGCCACTGACGGGAGCCACTTCGGATGTAGTTAAAGCATTCAACCACCTGCCGCGTGAGGTCACTTTCCAAGTTGCCATTAGAATGGGAGTTCACCCCCAGATCATTCGGGCATGGGCAGCCTCAACGACTCAACTTAGAAGGCACTTTGTAGTGAAGAACTCACCTTCTGCACAGGTCAGCTCTACGACCGGTTTTGTTGAAGGCTGTGGCCTTTCAGTAGTAGCAATGGTCCTTATCAATACACTGCTCCATGCCTACATCCAGCAGAAGCATCCAGATGTCACATTCACCACTTACGTAGATAACTTTGAACTTCAGTCGAATCAAGTGACTGACACGTCTCAAGCATTAAAATCCTTGGACGGCTTCTGCAAGCTCCTAGACATTCAACTTGACCAAAAGAAGACCTATCGATGGGCAGTCACGGCGGCAGGAAGACAAGAAATCAGGGACGCAGAAGAGCTTGTTGTCAAGGCCGTCCGAGATCTAGGAGCACATTTGCAATTTGAGTCCAGACAAACCAATGCCACTGTCACGAGCAAATTCAAAGCTCTCCCAGCATTGTGGCATTTACTGTCCCGCAGCCAGGCGACATATGACCAGAAGCTCAAGGTCTTACGCACAGTAGCGTGGCCCAGGGCAATGTATGCAGTCTCTACAGTGCATATAGGCAGTGCTCATTTTGTTGATGCCCGTGCTGGAGCCTTTCAAGCCATTGGAGGTACCAAAGCAGGGGCTAATCCCCAAATACATTTGTCACTGACGACCCACCCGTCAGCCGACCCTGAGTTTTACGCCCTTTGGAACACAGTCCAACAGTTCCGTAGGAACATACCTCCAGAATTGTTGGATGCAACTTTGGCCCCCACAGCGGTAGTTCCTAATCGCAAGCGGAAACCAGGTCCAGGTGGAGTGCTGATCACCCGTTTGGAGGCCATATGTTGGGCATATAAGGCTGATGGAATCTTCACCGATGGGGAAGGAGGCTCTCTCCACATCCTTGACACACCAGTGCAAGAACTCCGATGCCGACTCATCCGAGCATGGCAGCAAATGGTAGGATGTCAGTGGGAGCACCGTAAGGGCTTCCGGGGACTTCGCTTGGTAAGCACGGAGCTCTCAAAGCCAGCATCCACATTTGCCTCCGATGAACTGGGATTCAAAAGGGTCGCACAGAATGGAACATTTTACACGCATGATACCCTGCAACATGCAGGGATAGTTGAAGAAGCTAGTTGCAAATTTTGTCAGCTTCAGGATTCAGTGTTCCACCGTCATTGGGAATGTCCATACACTGCAAGTAGCCGTAATCTCATCCCTGCAAATATCCTTGAGTATATTGCGCATGCCCCGCAGTGTTTACAAGAGCATGGGTGGGCTACCGAACCAGCTGAGCTTCGGGCCTATCGATCCAGCCTCACCCAGATCCCGGATACCCTCAATCATTTTGTATTCCATGGTCCCCCAAGAAGGCACTATGACCTGTTCTGCGATGGCACAGGGATTGATCCCAAACAACCTTCCACTCGACTAGTGGCATGGGCAGTAGTTGTCGCAGGAAGTGATCCACAACAACTCCACACTCCCATAGCATGGGGAGGGGTCCCTGGCCAGCATCAGACGGTGATCAGAGCTGAATTATTCGCCTTGTATCCTCCCTCCTCTTTGGACTTCACCAGAGGAAATGCCACGGAGCCACCTTTGCAATTTGGAGTGATTGTGAGCACATCATACGCAGGGCTAGGGCAATCCAGCGCGGTTGGTTAACAGTTACCACAGCGATGACAGATCATGATATGTGGCAGGTCGTCCAGACATTGTTGCCGCCTGAGTCCATTTGCCACCTACATCATATTAAGTCCCATCAAGCCTACCAAGATGAACTGGCCTGGCTTCAGTGGGCCTGTAGTGCCAATGATGCGGCGGATAAGATGGCTGAGCTGGCCCTCCAAATGCTGCCGGGCCAAGTAGTACGCTTCCAGAAGGACGCAAGCCATGCGTACCAGCTGATGAAGCAAGCAGTCAAACATGTCCACCTTCATATGGTAAGGGTTGCTAGAGCATCAATTGCAATCGCAGAAGGCCCGAAAGCGGCCATGCCAAAGCCCATGGATCATCAACCTCTCATTTCATGGCATCAGATTGCCTTGGTTGCAGCCGACCGAGCCCCTGCGAACTTGCGGTTCCCTGGCTTTAGTAAGTTGCTTACGTGGCTTCAACAGATCCACGATCCCAAGGCCACCCCTAAGTGGTATTCATGGTATGAGCTGCTCTTCGCCTTCCAGATCATGACCGGTGAATGGGGAATCCAGTCCACATCGAAGCACAACACCTGGCAACTTTTCGGCAAGAGCCAAGAATACGATCTCAAGCAAACATGCCGATCCTGGGCGAGTTTCTTGATACAAATGATCCGCTTGGTGTTGCCGGAATTTAAGGCGGTCGATAACCGTCCAAGCAACGGGCGATTCAGATGCTGGACTATGGGTGTGATGTCGACCCTCGCCCAGGACATTGACGATAAGATCCATGCTTGGCTGCAGCTCCAGCTAGGAGATCGACCAGTCGCCAAAATAGCGACGCTCATGGCCCTGCCAGTAGCATCCCTAGCTACCCCGCAGGAAGAAGCCGTTGCCATACACGGCTTACATAGGTTCTGGTAGGATGGCAACACGCCAATCTAGCACAGCGATAGGCCCGCACTAGCTGACCTGTCGTGACAGATGACAAAAAGGTGCGACAAAAAGGTTTTGAACACGGTTCACTTGAATTTGGTCGAAAACCGTATGGCGAAGAAAACTATGTTGATAAATGTTGTCTCAAGTATTCTCAAGTTAATATTTGGATCAGATCATCAGCACCTCGTATTGCATTTTTTGAACGGGTCAAGCATGACGTTTCATCCGGGACCCGGATACCTCTGAGTCAGGTTGAAAATGGACTTTAATTCGTGGATTTTTTTCTTGAAGCAAAAAAATATACGAACAGGAACAGGTTTCAATTCAAGTCAATAATTGTATCGCCCCCTCCTGCAATCAAGCATGGCAAGAGACAAGCCCTTGTTAAGGAGGGATTAAGGAGGGAAATAATGTGAACATGTTGTTATGAAATTGCAATGTGTCATTGCTTGTCAGGGTGAATAAACCCAGGGATCATCGCACTTTTTTCGTCGATTGCCTGGGGTTCCTTCACTTGAAAACAAAGCAAGACCTGACCTCCCCCAATCAAAACATGGTCAATTCAATATGCTTATTGGTTGAATCCGTGTTTTTGTTCTTTTAATGATGCCCTTTTATGTTTCGGTTTACCTCCATTTTTTGTTGGTTCAAATCGCCATTTTGCTGGATTTGTTCCCTGCTTTTGAAAATTGTTTCCTCATGTGATTTGGTTTTATTCCGGATAATGTCAGCCTTTGATCAGCAAACTCAGGTCTATTGAATACGGGGCGAGCGGTTACCCCAAGAAAAGGGTGATGTCCTGCCAAAACCCTCACACACACAATTAAACAACCAGTTCAAAAAAAAAACGGATTTGACACTTTATTATTATCCTATACACTTTCAATCAGTTTGTTATATCATATATCAATGATTTCATGTTAAGTTGAGGGTATCACAAATTATGTCCCATGAATGTCCATCAACTGTATTATGTTCATTAATTCTTAACTGTTTCTCAAGTTTCTTCAGCATTCGATACCTATATGAATTATGATTCATAATTATTAATTACGTGTACCATTTATTTTGTATATTTATATCCCACTATAACTTGTAAATTGGTATATCATAATTGTGTATCCCACTATAACTGATTTATATTGATTTTGCACTATTTATCACCTATGTGAATTAACTATATAGATTATATATCATTATTATTAATTATGTATCATTATGTTGTATATTTATAACTGATTGGTGGTTTGCAACATGTTTTTTTTATTTTCCATATGTTGGGAATTCATCATCCCAACTGACGAACTTTTTTTTTGAAGGGGTGGTATACCACCAACCAGATTATCATTGAACAGTCTTCAACTAGCAACAGTGGTAATTTAGCACTTCAGACGTTAGTTGAAGACTGTTCAGTATCTCTACTTGTTCAACTTTGCATTTGGGATTCACGTCATTTGTTCATCATTATTGGGTAAATCAACAAACTAAATATACTAAATGGTCCATCTATACCATAGCTATCATAAATTACCAGTTATACGTTATATTTATCAACATGATTAAAACCACAAGCCAGTTGTAGAATATAAAGATGTTACCGTATATGTTCATTAATTATATAGATTATATATCACAATTTTATAGATTGAAATAATCAAATATATCACAAATGATACATAATCTATATATCATTATTATGTATCAGTTGTGATATATTTAATTGTATAACCCACTATAGATCACCCCACTATGTCATAATTATATATCTATTATCTATATATCATTCCAGTGATTAATCCACTATATTTGCAATGTGAGGCCCCCAAGATAGCGTTCAGTTGGTTTATAACCCAAATTTCACTACGGTTTATGGTACGCAAATAACTGTGGTTACTGGGGCGAATCTAAACCAACAAACATCACTGGGGGGCCTCACATTGTATGTACCAGTGATCATCCCACTACTTGCCTTCTCCAAGGTCACGCATCTGCCGTGCCGCTCCGCGCGCTACACGCCACAGGGAAATGGCGGCTGTGAACCCGACACTGGGCGCGGCCACGGCCGATGGGGCCATGGGGATTTCAGTTGATGCCCATCACCACCTAGAAATGGTGATTTCATGGTGATTTTACCAGTTATCAATGGTTTTAAATGGGCTTATATCATGTTATAACTCACTTATAAGACTTATAGCTGGTAAAGGCCGATACTTGTGGGGATGTGTCTATTTATCCCTCCATTAATGGGGAATATCATGGGAATATTCATGAGATTATGTATATATATATATACTTACATACATACATAATCATACATACATATAAGCATTCTTATATATATATATAGAGATAGATTAAATTTAACCGGATAATACTTGGGATGCACCGTTTGTTGTCATCAAACATGGGCTGGGAAATCCTCTATAAATAGATGTTTATAGCTGACAAACTCATCCATAAATGCCGATGTTTTTCCCATTGCCACATTTGATTACCAGAGGGACAGAGGGTTTGTCCAAGAATAGGGTACCTCTAGATCCAATGGAATGGTTTATTCAATGGTCATTTCAGGAACCTAAATTGGAGGTACCTACCTTAAATAAGGCCTATGTAAGGCCTATGTAGTAAGGGGATAGACTTCCAAATATGGCCTTATATGGTACAGTACCTCCATTTTAGGATCCTGGAAGTACCATTAATTTATCATCATTTTCCCCATTCTTAGACAAACCCTGCATTTTTCCATGCAAAAATAGGGAGGTTTCCAGTGAAGAATGAATAATCATGGGGATGTTTATAACCAGCCAACCACAATTAATCCCAACACAGATAGCTAGGGAACTTCATGGGTTTCCCTTGGAAAACGATCAGCTCCAAGCTATTCTTTTGATGTGGAAATGGTATTGAATGGCTTGTGTTTCCTATTTTGTCCAGAAAAAAGGGAGGTTTCCGAGTGAATAACGGGGAGATATGAATAATGATGCTGTAATGGTTTATAGCTACTTGATTATAATATATTATAATTAATCCCGACATACATAGCGCGGGAAAATCATGGCTTTCCCGTTGAAAATGATTAACTCTTATCTTCTGCTCTTTTCATGTGCCAAACCCAATGCCATCCCATTTCCAATAGCATAGTCACCATCCCATTAACCAATCATGACTGGGGTCTACTATAAATCATCCTATGGCTAGGGGTATCCCCGATTTCATAAAGCTCCATTGGGGATGGTTTATTGGCTTACCACATCAGGGAGGTTCCCCATGAATAATTTTTGCCGAAGCAGCCCTGGTGATTGGGGTGGTCCGGTCCTCCAAATGGGGGGGGCCCCATCCCAAAGCAGCAAGCAGCGAAGCTGGGATTGTTTGCAACATGAAAAGGCAACAATTTGAAAGAACGTGATTAGTTCATATTGGTTCTAGCTTAGTTCATGGGTGTTCAAATGGCAATGAGATGGCAATGGGTAGATTGGTTTCTTAGATGTGCATCCAATAGCTGTTGAACGGATGTTTATCCCCAAGACATGATCTCGAAAGGCATTGTTGTCATTGACATTGGATATTCAGAATCAAATTGATGTACAATCGTATTTAATTTTACTGTAATTCTGCCTTTGTCTTGATGACCTATACTTATTATGACCTCACTGTTCGGCGTGACCACACGCGATGGATGGGAATGCACCCAAAAATGACATTGTTTCGAGTTGGTAAGGTATATGAATAATTCAGACTTTATCCCCTGAAATAATCATCAAAATGTTGGTTTACCCCAGCAATCCTGGGGTAAATTAACATTAAGTAACATAGATATGGAGAAGCATGTCCCGTTCGGAAAATTATCTACATTCTTGGCGGGGTTGTCATATCTGTGTTAATTGACTGGAGGGTATACCAACACATAGCTAAGTTGACTTATAATTGACTTGGTTAACTAACTAGGCGAACCAACGAACATAACTCGGGGTTCAAATCCTATTTAATTACATTAAATCCCCATGTCATCCTCATTCTAATGGTTAAATCCCTACAACTGGGGGGCCTCACCGAGTTATTTCGTCCCTATCCTGGATATCTTCAGATTCG